TAGTAGTTGTCATGATTCCCAGCATCTGACAGTGGACTTGGTACCTTCTCAAACGTTTCGCCGGCATCATAGTCGGCATCATTAGTGAGTTTTGCCATTCTCCGAACCAAGCTACGAACTCGTCAAAAGGGACAAGTGAAGTCAATCCCTTGACAAACGTTCTGCCGAAAACGGTTACACTATCACTCCTCTTTCTGTCCTGGCCTATCTATTTACTCTTTACCCTCTTTTTCCACTGCCGCCCTATCACAACCTCTCACTTGCACTCGACAAATTGTGTGCCCTTTTGTGGCAAATCTAGCGTGGCTTCATTACACTTACTATTTACCCCCACCCCTCTCTTTCGATCGACTGCAACCATACCAGAGGCCACAAGATCTTGGTCTTCATATCTTCAATACTTTACCCTTTTAGATGTCTTAGTGATCAGAGCAGGTGAGAAGTGAAGCAGGGATGTGTATAGAAAGCCAATGCATGCTGGCTTTATGCCTAACTTCTTTTCCAATCATTGTTACAAAGCGAATGTTGGAGTTTTAAAATCTATGATCATCCGAAGCATAAGACTAGCCGATATATGCCATTGTGGCAATGAACTGAATCGGCTGAAAATATTGTTCTTTGAAAATAATTATCTCCTAGGCTTGATTGAAAATAGCATTAGATTAATAAAAAATAGCTTTTTGAATGGTGAATATGTAAGGAGAGATAAGGAGACCTTTTCTCATCTTTTATCTTTACCTTCGTGCAATCTCTATAAAAGAAGAGGTGAACAAGTAAGGAAGTTAAAAATAAAAACGGCTTTCACTTCAGTCATGCCTACTTTTAGAGAGAAAGTTGACCCATTATCCAGATCGGGTTGCTATAAAACAATGTGTTTATGTGGTCGCTTTTATGTTGGAGAGACTTGCGTCCCAATCGACAAAGAGTGGCTGAACACAAAAGCGCCTACAAGGGCTGTTGGGTTCAGAAATCGGAGCTTGCTGATCACAGGACAGAAACTGGACACGAGATTGAATGGTCTCAAACTTGTTGTTTTGCTGATTATGGTATGTTTGCGGCTAAACGTAAAATTAGAGATGCCATCGAAATAAACTGAATAGGAAATACCTTAAACGTAAGGAATACCGGCAAGAAGATGAACAAAAATTATTTGTGCTTAATTAAAAGACTAAAGGATAGAGAGGGAGTTGAGCCGCCTGTAAAAAGGAGGTGGCGGAACTAGTCTTTTCTTGTCTTGGTTATAATCATAGTCACTTCTATGTATTTAGGCTTACTCTTTCTCTCTCGAATTGAGACCAAATACAAGAAAAAAACTCATCAACAAAATCAGACGAGTGTCCAACCTTGCGCAATCGGAGTGATGGTTATAACATGTATATAGAAAAAGGAAGATAGGGGTCATCAAACCTTAATGGCCAAAACGAGACATTCCTTTTTGCTATCCTAATTACTTTGAGCCATCACTACGGCTTTCGTGCATAGGCGAATACGAACAGGCACATACACATACAGAGACAAACGCAGCCACAGGCATCAAAGTTGACATATGACCGTAACTAACTAAGTCATTTTATACTTAATCAAAGAGGCTAGATGTAGAGTATATATACCCGTTTTTAGGGATTCGCCGGTTAGTTCTGTTGACTCGTCATCTTGAATTTTGTTGTGACGATGATACCTTGTGTTGATGATGTTGGTCATATGACGAACGAAATTGAAGTAGATTGCCTCGGAAATAGCGTCAGCATAAATCTTCCAGTAAAACCAATCGACAGT